TCCGTCTATTTTGGGACTCATCGACAGGACACACCCACTGGGTTTCGAAACCACGAGTTTCTGGTTACAAGGCAAACTCGTTTACCATTCAACCACTGGGCTCCGATTCAACCTTAACAACAGAAGACAAGGACCAGGCAACAGATCGTTCACATTAAGGAAATCAACACACATTTATAGATTTTCATGTACATATCATAGATTATTGTTAGCAGAAAGACACAGTCTTCTGATTGGTTGTTTCTCACAGAAAGTTAACCTTGCATCTTTTAGTGACTGTCTCTTGAATGTCAGATCATCTATATGTTAACTGTATCCGCCTACGCAAAGCCTTTCTTCTCATTTTTCTCACAACCAATATTGGGGACGTGAACATTGACGCAAATTACTGTCTACTAATTTGGCTAGCAGCCAGGTCTCACCACTCAATGACTAATTCTTGAAAAGTAATCTAATGATCGCTATTTAGTGACTGTCTGCAGGATGAAGTTGCCAGCAGTTCCAGTGAGAACTCGTGACCGATGGGGTCCAGCCAATCGGGGAGGGGGGCTAAGGCAAATAATACTCGCTGAATATATTGGCTATTGGGTAGACACGTTAAAATCACGAAACAGTAGAAGTTAGAATTTATGGGCCATTTAGTCGGGTCCCAATGGCTTAATGGTCTATGAGTTAACTTGCCTTGTAACCAGAAGGTTATGGGTGCGTACTACCACTGAGCCCCAAACTAGGCTGATGAAACACAACTGTCCAGTACTCCCCGGTTTTCAATTTTTCTTTAATTGATAGCAATCAATGGTCTAACCTGAAGCAAATAGAATCCTTACGAACTAATTGTGGAAAATGTATACACATAATTAAATCAAAAATGCAGAGATTAAATATGCTGTATAATCAAAAGTTCATATCAGGCCAAACCTCATCAAATATGTGGAGTCTGTTTAAGGAAATCACGGGGTAAGGAAATCAATAATGATCCTTCTACAGTCGATGCTGGTTCTCTTAATAAGTCTTTCATACGTCGTCCAACTGATGTTATGGTTTCAGGTGCTACAAGTGCAAATAATGTGCGTCGGTGGCACACAGTGGTTAGGACTCTTGTCGACCATGCATATGGTTCGAGGTTCAATCCCCTGCCGACGCACACCTGATATCTATCTATGATCGGCCTGAAAAATTTGGGCTACCGATATCCATGCTGAAAATTTCATACTTGTACCAAAAATACGATGCGGAATCAGGCTGTATTCAAAAACAAAAATAAAATGATTGCTTCTCCGGGTTTAATACAGACGATGTTTATCAAGTGTCTCAAATCCTTGAGAGTTACACAATCCCTTGGTCCAGAGGTTGTACAAGCTATTATCTTCAATAAATGTGAGCACATTTTATGTCATCCTCTCATTGGAAGTTTCAAGGAATCTTTTTCCATTAACATTGTGCCTGCTTCTTGGAAGGACCTATTACAATTACCTCATCTCTTTCAACAAAAATAATCGAAAGACTGATTTTAACTACCCTAATCAATTCACTTATAAACATAGTAGGTGTACTTTGGGTGTCTCTATCCTTTTATATCATAATATTGTCTCTAGTTTAGACACAGGTGCCAAATATGGTGGTCGGTGTGCTTTCCTAGATCACACATCTGTCTTCCACTCTGTACTTAGGCTTGTTTTGTTAGACAAGCTTGGTGCTATACAAGCAGATTGTTGGACTAAAAATGGGCTGCATTCCTACTATGCTCATAGGAGGCAGTACACTGTTTACAATGGTAAGTCCTCCAATGCTTCACTTACTCAAGCTGGTATTCCTCACTCAAGGCGTTGTTTTTTTCTCCTTTTCTGTTTTCTTTCTTCTTACACATGACTAACTAGCCCGATTCTGACGAAGTCAATTTTGTTAAGTACGCTGATGACTGTTACTCGGTCAGACTATTCAAAAATTGGTCAGTGGTCCTCGTCAAAATGGTTTTAAGCTTAATCGCCCCACTCCCAAATGTCAGATGGTCAGTTTCACTTACAGACACATAATCGCGACTTACATGAACTGATTAATTCACACGGTTCTACTATCACAATTGCTACTGAAGTTAAAACTAAATCGAATATTAAATACCTTGGACTGTATATTTCCTTCGATCACCCATCCTCATCTTTCCACATCATGTTAGTTTCCAGAAATATATTTCGTTTGACATTCTACGTAAGGAAGTCAGGAGGATCTGGTATCAATTATTCTGTCTCTGTTGTTACAGTTTATTAATTCTTGTATTCCAAATTGATTGCGTTCTCCGACCTGGTTGATTTAATTGTGAAGCTTTCGTTATTCCACTTCTAGACAACATCACTTCAGAGCAGATTTCAGCATAAAATGAACTCATTCAAATTCTTCATGAATGGTGATATAATTGTATCTCCTAGCAACCATCGCGTCGTGACTGGATGTTAATTTACATCGCTATTGGTCACATTTTTTATTGACTTGGAATTCGAAATTTCTTGTCACCTACCTGATCTACTTTTCATTAGTTGGTAAATTTGGCCTATAGTGAGTGGTTAAGTGTTTGTTAATCCATCTCTTAGCTGATTCACTTAAGTACCAACCAGACGGCTTCTAGGAATTCCCTGGTATTTTTTTGTTGTTTATTCTCCTGTTTAAAATTTCTACATTATTATTCCAATCATCTATTTGGTGCTCAAACTTATCCACGTGCATTGATACGAAAGAATATAGATATCATGCCATTTTACAGTCAATTTGTGTTCTTGAATTCAAAATCGAAGGGGACGCCCACTTTGTTGACCGATATAATGTTTAGGGCAGTTCATGCATGCAATTTATTTTGTAAATGGTATTAATTTTATCTTTATAAATCTCTTGGATCTTTTGTACTAAAAGCTGCACTGAAAATTTTGTCTAGAGGGACGACGAAAGCTTCGTAATTAAACCATCAACCAGTTCAGCTCCGAGAAAACAATTAATTCAATATCATCCACTTGAATTACAAATGTTCTCCAGTATTCTTGTATTCTGCCTATCCTGCTTTACTGCTCCCCCTCTCAACTTAATCTTTATCGGGCTATTAAAGAAAGACTATTTTGTTAGACCACTAGGGGCAATAAAAGTCGCCAGTAGGGTGTTGCTGCTGGGCTAAACCAATTTGTTATTACTATTGTAGACAATGGACATATGGACTCCTGCAAGAAATTAGCAAATATTATCTTGTCAGACTTCGAACATCCTCCCTCTCTCTCTCTCTCTATACACAATTGTCTCCTTGCTGCATCTCATCGGCTGGATAGAACTACAAGCAACTATAAAAGACTATATGCTCGGATGACCAGGGGCAGGAAAGTACCAACTTACTGAAGAACTCTAATTAAACAGCCCCACTTTATCTTCTTAGTTGTTGCATTGTCGTTAGTATTTTCACTTGATTTAATTTTAAATTCTTTTTTTTAATTTAACAATGTTATCGATATAAATTCCCTGTTTTAAATATTACCTCTGTATTGAGAAAGGTAGATGGAATATTGTACTACTCTTCGTGCTAAAGATTCCATTTTCATACCAAAAAGTACTGTTTGGAATAAAGCTGTAATATTACTATATTACTTATTCTCTACCTGATTTCAATTCACAAATTACACCTAAAATCAATTAAATATGCCTACAAACCAAATAGTCGACTGTCCAAACCGATTACTAAACAACATTTGACCGCTTATCACAAATGGCTTATGGGGAATTGTCATCTGAATTGGTAACAAGCAGTGGTGTCCGACAGGGATGTCCACTCTCCCCATTTCTGTTTAACTTCATCATATATATGCTGATGGAAGTATCCTTAACTGAACGTAATGACTTAGGAATCGAATTGTTACCAGGGAATAGTCTTATGGACTTGGAATATGCAGATGACATGGTCCTGTTAGAGGAGGATGCTGACAAAATGAGGCAGAGTCTTCTGAACACCTTGAGCAGAAATCTTCGTATGTTTGGCATGCGATTCGCCCCTACAAAATGTAAGATGCTGCTACAGGACTGGACCACGTCAACTCCTAACTTAATGATAGAACATGTTGACCACTTCACCTATTTAGGAAGTCGTATCAGCACCAACGGACTGATTGGCGACGAAATCTCAGCACGGATCCAAAAAGCTCCAGCTGCTCTCGCTGACTTACACCATCTATGGCGTAGGCGTGACATCCGGCTATCAACCAAGGGACGTGTGTACTGCTCACCAGTTCGCTCCGTCTTTCTCTGTGGCTCTGAAACATGGCCAATACGAGTTGAAGACATGAAAAGGTTGACTGCTTTCGATCATAGATGCCTGCGATCTCTGTCTCACGTTAGGTGGTTTAATAAGGTAAGTAATGTTGACGTTAGGCGTAGAGTGTTGGGTAAAGAGGGAAAATCAATCGACGAGGCTATAAAGTTACATAGACTAAGATGGCTAGGTCACGTGGTGCGCATGCCGAACCATCGCCTCCCCCGACGACGGGCATTACTAGCTGATAGATATAGGTGCAGGTTGGAAAAGAGCCAGTGGTGGCCAAACAAAAACATGGAATCAATCCATGAAATCCTTGACAGTTAAACTGAGTCGGTCAGGTAGGGAGATGTAGACTTCCGGGTTGGGAGCCCTCGCCTCGAGACTCTAGGAATCAATGGCTGGAGACAATAGGTGACACATGGCTCAAAATCGTTGTCAATGGCCAGCGCACATGTATTCAGTCTCTGTAATCTTTCATATTCCTTTCTACCATTACTTATTCTGTTTCACTCTTATACTTGTCAAACTCTATTGATTCTCTTCATTCATCTTCTTGTCTACCTTTGTGTGCTATTTGGAACGTGGCAACTCGAACTGGTGCACTTCGGTGCCAAGTTCTATGTTGAATCCAGACAGACAGACAGACAGACAAATGGTTGACTGAGATTTCACAGTAATTAATTGTCTACAAGACAACAGATACACAATTCTTTAACAGCTCATATATGTATATTTATTTCTGCATATCCTAAATTTCTGGGAAACAAAAAATAAAAAATCAATACAACACCTCAGTTGTGTTAAAGATACAAAGTAATAATATACAAAAAGAGTAGTCATAAGAGGAGAAGTAGCAAGGCAAAAGAGAACTTAGGAAGAATTGTACTGTACAATTGTAGCAGAAAACATACCACAAGGCATTTATTGTGTTGTGTATGTGCGCGCAAAAACACGCGTTATTTTATACAACTTTCGATCTGTGCATTTTCATATAATGCAGAAATGCACTCGCCTCTTTATACTCTGGATGTGTTTGACTAATTTCAAAGGCTGGATTTCGAAGAAATTCATCAAAACGATCATCATTACAAAATTCTTCAGAATTGTCATCGGCTAACCACTGTAGTTGTGTGTGTGGAGACAAAAAGAGAGAGAGAAAACATAGAAAAAGAATTTCGGTAAACACAATGGTTAAAACATGGTTGGTAAGGCAGAATTTAAACAGTTTATTTACTAATATTTTTAAGTATTGTGATTTGTAGGGATTTGATTTAATTGGTTACAGGATTTCATCATGAGCTGACATTGGTTAGAGAAGAACTATTGGAAAACCAGCACTCGAGTACTGGACTGCCAGCTGTTTCGTCAGCCTAGTTTGTGACTCTGAGTCTCCAGTGACTCCCTGGTCTGTGGGCTAGCTAACTCGCCTAGATACCAAAAGGCTGTGGGTTCGAAGTCTGTCGGTAGGTGTGTAGGCGAAGACGCTGACGAAATGCAGAGTCTTCTAAACACCTTGAGCCGCAATCTACGAATGTTTGGCATGCGATTCGCTCCCGCCAAATGCAAGATGATGTTACAGGGATGGACTACATCGACGCCTAGTTTAAAAATAGGAAGTGAAGTGGTAGAGCACGTTGACCGCTTCACTTATTTGGGAAGCACCATCAGCCAATGCCAATGGGTTGATCTCTGACGAAATCTCAGCACGAATACAGGGGGCTCGTTTCGCATTTGCCAGTTTACGCCAACTCTGGCGTAGACGAGATGTTCGACTATCGACCAAAGGGCGGGTGTATTGCTCGTCAGTCCGCTCCGTCCTCCTTTATGGTTGTGAGACCTGGCCACTGAGAGTGGAAGACATGAAAAGCCTGACTAGCTGCCTTTGATCATAGGTGCCTGCGCTCTATTTCCCGTGTAAAGTGGCATAATAAGGTGAGCAACATTGAGGTTAGGCGTCGAGTTCTAGGTAAACAGGGGAAATCAATCGACGAAGTCGTGAAGTTACATCGACTGAGATGGTTAGGACACGTGCTATGTATGCCTAGTCATCGCCTTCCTCGACAATGGGCAATGTTAGCTGATATAGGGTCAAGCTGGAAAAAAGCTAGCGGCGGTCAAACAAAAACATGGCACCAGTCAATGAAATCCACAACAGTTGGTCTTAGCCACGTAGAAAGGTGTAGACTTCCAGGCTGGGGTCCTCGGGACAGTAAAAATCTATGGTTGGAAACAATTGGTGACATGGCTCAAAATCGTTCTCAATGACTGGCGCAGATGCATCCACTCCTTGTGACATATGATCTCCACCAATGAAACTGTTTTGTTTTTCTTTATTACTCCTTTGTCTCACACCTCTGCTCACTGTTTCTATTATGCTTTTCTTGTACTTTCTTCTCTTGCTTCACGTGCTACACGGAGTGTGGCGACTTGAACTGGTGCACATTTGTGCAAAGTTCTATGTCGAAAACAGACAGACAGACAGACAGGTGTGTACTGTGAACAGTCACAAATTAGGACGTAACAGTTGTCCAGTACTCTTTGCAGTTTATTTGCAAGTAGAATTTTATATTTCCTATTGACTGATTATGAATATTGGACTGAAATCGTCAGTCTCTCAGGTGACAAGGAGGTGCCTAGGACGGATGCTTGCACGTTGTCTGAGGATGTTATTCGATGGATGGCGACTAGTAGGAGAAACAAAGTGACTACTTCTCCTTCGGTGTTTGAAACGATAGTTGCTAGATTCGAGTTCTAGTGGGGGACACTACTCACTGAGGACTGTAGATACATCCAGTTGATGAAATGAGCAGTCTGGATTCCACTGCTGGTAACAATCGACCAAACAAGAGTCTAAGTCTACAGTTCACCAGCACAGCGATGCATCGCTGTGTGTGCGTGATATTTAAAATATTATTTAACCGATGCCAGTTCATGAAGAAATCCGGTAACCAATAAAAATCCCTGCAAACCAGCACACTTGAACATTCCTTTACCATCAAGCGACAGTCACAAATGTATGATGATGTTATATACTCCTGACTAATTCACATGAGCTGTTGAATACCACTCAGGTCAAACAGTGGTGCTTTCCAGCCTGCCAGATCATCGAAGTAGTCTAAACACCAGACGACCGTCTCGTTTGTTTGGAATTAAGCTCATCAGCGGTGTATCCGGTGTGACTCACCCTGGGGAAAAGGTGAATCAATTCAAGATACCCGATTTCGAGTTGGCTAGCTAGAGAATTAACTCGCAATTTGCAATTTACTCAATCGGAGGTGTTACGGATGCCCAGCCATCGACTACCTTCCTCGATAATGGGCAATGTTAGCTGACTGACTGACTGACTGACATGGGACGGATTAGGTTGGATAAGAGTGAGCTAGTGGTGGTCACCAGACCAAAACATGGCTTCATCAGTCAATGAAATGAATCGACAACAGCAGGTGAAGACTTCCGGACTGGATGGTTGCGGTCCTCAGGATAGTAAAAAAAACAATGGTGGCGGTTGGGGAAAAGTGGTGATATCGGTCAAAATCGTTCTCAGTGGCACAGATGCCCCTACTAATTGTGATTTATCGTATCCAATAAAACTCTACTTTTCTTCCATATTACTATTCTTTTTTCCTCACAGTTCTGTTTGTAATCTCTCTTTACTCTTTTCTCTTGCTGTGTGCTACATGGGAGGGAGAGTGACAAATACGTAGAACTGCTGCACATCTGTGCAAAGTTCTATGTTAAAACCAGTCAGCCAGTCAGAAATTCCACGACAGATTATTTCGAGACCACAAATTGTTCAGATAGCAATCTGTGATCTGCTGGATACCATGAGCAGCAATCAGGAAATCAAACACTGACTGAGGTGATATGAATAAGCAAATACACTAGTGGTTAGTAATGGATTGTAGGGATTTGATCGATTAGTTACAGGATTTCATCGTGAGTTGATAACGGGATAGAGAACCATTGAAAAACCTTGGAGTACCGCACAGATGTTTCGTCAGCCTAGTTTGGGACTCTTCGACGGTACGCACCAATCCTACGAGGGTTAGAACCCAGGACGTTCCGGTTTATGCGTTCACCTTGTAACCGGAAGGTACTGGGGTTTGAACTCCTGTAGGATGGGTTCGTACTGATGAAAAGTCCCAAACTAAGACGAAACAGCTGTCAAGTACTCCCAGGTTTTACAATATTCTCTAACCGATGTCAGGTCATCATGAAATCCTGTAAGTGATGGTTAGTGTGAGCGGTATCCAACTACTCATGTTATGCCGCTTGCTTTCTTGAATGGTATCGAGTAGTTTACGTATTGAGTGTTATCTGAATAACTTCGGTGTCCGATGGAAACTGTGTAAATTACAAATCACGAATGAATTGAATTCAAGTTATAGTCAGTTACACTTGAATTTTTTACACCTACAAGTCAAACTACTTTAAACCTTATTAGTAGTATATACTAATTTGAAGCATTTAAATGACAGTTGTCCACTTGTGGAAAGGAGAAACACCTGTAGTCGTGATCATCCCATCGAACCTTTCGAAAGGGATTTTTGTGTCTCCCTTCATCTCTTGTCGAAGAGATAAACTTCAGTAGACGGAGTCCTCTGTATATAAAATAGTCCAGTCCTTCCACGGTAAATACATACTCCTGATTTTGTTTCAACTTTGCTTGTATAACACACCTCTTTCATCCTTGCGAGATTTTATGTAGGAATGTGGCTCACTCATCTTTCAAACGATAGGTCCTGGGGTTCCAAAACTACTTCGTCGACTTCAGCTTGAGCAACTTAACTAGTGGGCAGCATATCCTCAGTCCCCACACAATCAATGTGGCTTCATAGACTCTATTCAAACAAACATGGGATCAGGATTCAGTTGGTGGATGGTGACTAGCACTGGGCACTAGGTTCGAGCCTCAATGGGAACATCATCACTTCCTCACTGTGGAATGCAGGCACATCCGGTTGATGAGTCCCAAATAGGACGAAAACAGCGTTATCCTGGATTCCACTCCTAGTCACCATCCACCAATTAACTTCTAATTGCATATCCAGACATGTTGAACCATCTGAACAAGAAGCCGACATGTCAACCTGAGACCGAGCACTTCGGTCCAGTCAATCAATAGACGGGGAAATCAAGAATTCAATGGAAAAAAACATAGGATCATTTGTATTATAGCTATTCTTATCACAGTATAAGTTACAACGCCTAACACTGACACCTACAGATCTATATAGCTATTCAGAATCATCAGAATCTCCATATATGGCTGCATTCATGTCTACTAGAGTAAAACTTAAAGACGATTTTAGGTGAAAATAATATTCATTACTTATGTCTAAGAGAGAATAACATACCAGTTTCGCTTCACGTTCTATTCTTGCTTGAACTTTACGCTTCTTTTCCAAGATTTTGGTACGCTAAAAATTAACAATATTGAAAGAAAAGCATATTAGAATTATTTATTTTTATTTTGATCATGAACCGAACCGATGAGGATATGAAAGCGAGGACCGGGAAGGCAAGGCAAGCTTTCATTTTTCTCAAGTCTGTGTGCTGGAGGTCAACAACACTCAGCATGAAAAATAAGTTCCGGATTTTCAACTCTAATGTGAAGTCAGTGCTACTTACTATACGGATCAGAGACTTGGCGCCACGCCGCGTCACGAAGGACACTTCGAACAAGCTACAGGACTTCATCAACAATTGTCTTCGCTCAACACTTAGCTCAAGATCAGATGGCCGGCCAGGAAAGATCAGCAACAGAGATCTCCGGTAGCGAACCAACCAGGAATCGATTGTGCAACAAATATACAGGAAGAAATGGAGATGGATTGGCCATACTCTGAGAAAACAAACCATCAAGTGAGTGACATCACACACCAGGCCATCGCTCGAGTGGAACCCGACCGAAAGGGTAGCTTTGAGTTAGTTGGTCGACAGTGCCAGGGTGACATGGAAGAGGAGGAGGTGATGTGAAGAGGAGATGAAAGCATATGGGGAGATGTGGAGCCAGGCGATGAAAACGTTGGCGGAGAACTGAACGCAATGAGGACGTGCGACTAAAGCCCTATGTCCCTGTAGGAATTAAAGGAAACAATAATAATAACAATACGAAGAGACGATCATTCGCATAAAAGTAGAGGAGAGACAGATTAGACGCCAAAGAGAGTAAATGAACCAACGTTGCGGCAAAACATGGGAGACATGAAAAGAAGACAAAGAAAGACACACAAAGACACAAAGGGAGAGCAGAAGTAGCACGACACAGAAGATATATGCAAACAGTGATTTCAGGAGATAAGAGGTACATAATGTCACTATACAGAGATACCAAATTCCAAATAAATATTCCTTTACCAAGTTTCTTGTCTTCTACCGTTAAACCATGTTACGTACGTGCTTACATAGAAGTTTTGATAAAATATTTATCTCATTCATTTGTTCGGAGTAGAACAGGGAGTTTCATGCTTTCAAGATTTCAGCATTGGTGACATTACCGCCAGCTTACAACAGACTAGGAGAGGTTTGTTAACGCGTTCGTTAGCCAAGAAACGAACTCAGACCTCCTACAAGAGTGGTGAGGATTCTATCATGGGACGACATAGATCTGCATAGGTTCGGTCTCAAAAAAAGCTCATAATTACGTCAGTATTAAAACATGCACGGTTCAACGATCAACTGGTTTTAACCTCGCCTAGCTCGCTAGTTTCCCAGACGGCTCAAGACCGGGTAAAGAATGAGGGTTGGGCGTAGGGGCTAGCAACCCTACCTACCCCAGAAAGCCAATTAAACTGTTACAGAAACTTCAACGCGCAATAAAAATATGAAAAATATGGAAAAAATCATTCTCCTCTGGAATCGGAGAGGCGAAATGACGCCGTGAGCTGGTGAAAGCCTTCGGGAAGCCGGTCAGCCTATGTGTCGTTTCTCGATGAAAGCGAAAATAAGAATGGGGACGTGGAATGTATCTACAACGTACGAAGGTAATTGGAAGGGTGAAGTAATTTGGAAAATAATTCAACACTATAGCATGCTCCAAGTCTTTATCAACCTCACTCAACAACAACTGGCTATATGACAATGTCAAGTGTTAGGTGATCCAGAACGGAAAACTCACTGAAGCCTGGCTTTGAAGTGAACACAGGAGTAAGACAAGGCTAGCTGACCGCCTATTATCACCGATGACATCCTTAATGCTGCTAGACTGATTGGATTATCTGCCAGGCTATGCACAGGGAGTGAGCGAGTGAGTGAGGAGACACGAATGCACTGGACTGACCGAACGAACTCAGACCTCCTACATGTCTGGTGAGCATTCTAACACGGAACGACATAGATCTGCATAGATTCATTCTCAAAGAGAAACTCATAATTACGCCAATATTCAAAACATAAATGATTCAGCGATCAACTGGTTTGAACCTCGTCTAGCTCGCTAGTTTCTCAGCCGGCTCAAGCCCGGGTAAAGAAGAATGAGGGTTGGGCGTAGGGGCTAGAGACTCTACCTACCCCACAAAAAACCAATCAAATTGTTACAAAAACTTCAACACACAAAAAAACAAATTCATTTCCAGCTGGGGGATCAGAGAGGCGAAACGAAACCATTGGCTGGTGAAAGCAAAGATAAGAATGGGGATGTGGAATATTTGTACAATGTGTACGAGGCTTGGAAAGCTACCCAGGCAGCCAAAAAAAAATTGAGAAGGTGAAGTAATTTGGAAACTACTTCAACATTATGGAGTAGTACAGTGCCCCAAATCTTCATCAACCTTATTCAACAAGCTGGTTACGTGACAAAGCCAGGTGTCAGGTGTTCCACAACGGGAAACTCAATCAAGGCTACGAGGTGAAGATAGGAATAAAGGCAAGACTGACTCCGTCTATTATCACCAACGATGATATTCCTAATTGTGGTGAACTGACTGGATTATGAGGAAGACTGTGCATGCACAAGGAGTGAGTGAGAAGACAGGAATACGCTGCACTGTCCGATAAGAAGACTAAAGAAGATCTAGATTTCGCTGGTGAATAACTTAGGTTTAATGTCACACACACACACACACAGAGTCGAAGACTTACAGTCAGATGGAAACCAACAGACTGACTGAAGAAGCAGTTAGCCGGCTAAGACAGGACTCCGGTTGAACATAGAGAAAACCGAGGTGATGTAGATAACCAACCAACCAACCAGCCAACAGCAACAACAACAACAACAACAACAAAAACCACCACCACTCACCATCAATGGGAGAGATTTGACAAAAGCTACCTCCTTCAGTTATCTTGCCAGGGCAGCACCGTTTCTATCACAGGCGCAGTCGGAATGGATGAAGATGTCAAGGCCAGCTAGCCAGCCAGCCAGCCAGCCAGCGAGAATCGGAAAGGCAAGATACACCTTCATCAATCTGAAATCGGTTTGGAAATTTTCTGCTTAAATCAACCAGACAGCCAGCCAGCATAAACAACAACATTCGGATTCTGTTCAACACAAATATCAAGTCAGTAAGATCTTCTTCTGTATAGGTCAGAAATCCGCACTGCATGTCATGAAAAGCACTTCTAACAGATGGCATACTTTTATCAACAGCTGCCCACCTTTGCTCGCTGCATACTGAAGACTAAACGGTCGGCCCGGAAAGAATTAGCCTCAAGAAACACTGGCAATGAACAAACCAACCACTAATCGAGTGCTCAATAAATATGTAGGGGGAAATGGAGATGAATTCGGAATGCACGCCGCTGAGAGGAGGCCGTCGAATGACATGGCATGCAAAGCAGGCAATCTCTCAAGTGGAATCCCAATGGGAAGTGAGCGACGAGTGGGTCGTCAGTAAGAGGATGACATGGAGTAGATCGTGTGTTGCGGGGGAGGGGGGAAGAGATGAGAGATTATAGGAAATCGTGGACCCAGCCTGGTGAAGAGGATAGCGGAGAATAGGAGAGAGTGGAGATGTGTTGTTGAAGCCCTATGTTTATCAGGATTCGATAAACACGTGAAATATATAATCAATCAAATATAAATAAATAAATAAAAACCCACCTGTTTCAATTTCTTTTTTCGTTTATTCTGATGACGAGATTTTTCGCCCCTTTCTGTCCCATTTATATCATCATTGTTAACATCATCACCATCACCTTGATCAGAACTACCCTCTTCCTCCTCAGCATCTTCAGAATCTTGAGCTTCCGGTAACACTTTTCGACGAACTTTTTTATGTGATGAAGAAGGTGTTTCTTTTGGGATCTTTTCAACCGGTCGTAGATCATAGTCTTCAGCTTCAGAGACATCATCATTGTGAGCTAGATCAAAGACCTCTTCTTCTTCTTCTTCTTCGTCTACTCCGTCTTCTTCATTCTCTGTGAGTTCATGATTCCCGTCGACAACATTCGCCCTATCATCATCATTATTAGATGTTAAGCCTAAAAGTGCTAAACGAACTTCAGCTGGTGGCAGCTTTTTTGGTCGATGACGACGAATCCTAGGAACTGTAGGCGCCGGTGGTTCTGATTCTGGATCTGAACTAGCTGCTGTACTTGCACCACTTGACGAAAGGACTAAATATTTAGAAAGCTAAATGTATAAAATGAATGGGGTGGGGGGCGGGAAAACAAGGTGTTAGAATCCGTTCAAACTCAATTTCAACTAAAATAGTGGCAGTGAAGTTATGAATTGAGTGCTTCAAGTTTATCTAATTCAAACTGAATTTGCTTTTGTGCTGTGCTTATTTCAAAGTGAATACTTTCCGTTACCAGTTTGTATGTCCTGAGGAACCCAGTCAGCCAGCCAGGCAGTCAACACCTCCCTACACGACTCAAATCAAAAGTCAAAGGCTTCATGGATCCAAATGAGCTTTATACATTGCCTAGTTAACGAGCAATTCGACCTTACTTGGAGTACAAAAAACGAAGAAATCTAGGATGTTTGGAATTTGAAAGAATCAAGATTGAACTGTGCTTGTGATTACTGTTCTTTTTTGTATTCCTTCACGTTCCCATTGGTGGAACATAGGGCGTCTTCAAGCTAGAGGCTCGAAGTTTCTGTAACAGTGGTGTTGATTTTTACGCGATGTGGTTTCTAGCTTATGCCCAACCTTGAGTCTTTACCAGTCTTATTACTGTCTCAGTGAGGTAAATGAGTGCGTCCAGTGACCGAGGATTGAATCCCAGAGCACGTGAGGCGTGGTCGGCAGCTATTCTATCGATGTGCCACCGACACAAACGTGACTGTTGTATTCCTAGAATATTTTTCAATGTCCCAATCTACCTCAAAAACATGCTTTACCAGTTTAATAACCTCCGTTCATTACTTTGAGCAGAATTACAGGCAACCTGACCACCAAGTTATAGTGGATCAGGATAAAAAGTTACCCAGATATGTGATCACGAATGACTCGAAATGTGTTGGCGGTTGTTACTTCCCGACTGCTCACACCATGGAAGTTGATTTATTCTTGGGTACCTGAGAGAGAAAGAGAATCAGTGTTGTGTGACCACAGAGTCTAGGGGATGACTCCTTGGGGCCGACCACACACGACCTGTTTGAACTGGCTTTTTGGTTTGGCTTCATATTAGTAACCTACCACCGGCTACGGATCACCGTAGGGTAAGTTGCGATGCACAGTTTTTGGGGTCGATCTTTCCTAACCCCTACTCTCAACAGCAGAGAGACAGCACAGATGGCTGGAAAGCTGGTCATCTGAGGGAAACAGCTTACCGGTGTTACATCTCTGTTCTCCAGCAGAAAAACTTTACCCACAGACCCCCAGCATAGGGTTAAAAAATATTACACTATACCGGTAACTGCTTCTAGTCCAACCTCTATCTTCAGAATCTTCCTAGCATAGTACATATATACGTTAAATTAAAGAGAAGTCCATCCCGAGGACCCCAAAGAGCCAGTCAGGTTGTCTACACCTCCCTGTGTAGCAGGCTGACTGGCTTAAACTAACTGTTGTGGATTTCATGGGTTGATGAAGCCATGCTTTGGTTTGACCACCACAACTAGCTCACTCTTTTCCAACCTGATCCATCCTGCATCAGCTTCTAACACTGCCAGTTGTCGGAGGAGATCGATGGCTAGGCATGTGCAGCAACACATGCCCTAACTATCTTCCTCAATCCATGTAAATTCACTACACAACCTCGTGAATTGATTCCCCCCCGAACTCACCTAGCACTCACTCGACTGAAGCCTAACCTCAATCTTAGTCACCTTGTTATACCACTTAACATGGAAGATAGAACGCAGGCACCTATGAACAAAGACAGCTTGCTGGCCAGGCTTTTATGTCTTCCACTTCCAATGGCCATGTGCCTGTTATAGCCATAAAGGAGGACAGAGCCAAGTGACTGCTGAGCAGTACACATACCCTTTGGTCGGTAGTCAGCCGGATATCACGTCTACTAAGCGAGAGGTGGCGTAAGTTGGCAGGTAATTGCCAAACGAGCCTTCTGTATCCTTGATAAAATTTCGTCAGCGATCAACCCGTTGGCGTCGGCTGATGCAACTCCCCAAATAAGTGAAGTGGTCAACATACTCAGCCACCACTTCACTCCCTACCTTTAAGCCAGAAGTCGATGTAGTCCAGTCTAGTCCTGTAGTAGTACAACGACAGAAGACAAGGGCCAGGCAACAGATCATTTATTGGGAAAATCAACAGATATTTATA